CCAGTTTCGATTTGCAAGAGAAAGCGAAACGACGATGAAGGTTATCTCTGCTTTTCTCCTTGCAAAACTCGGCGGAAACGAGAACCCAACCAAAGCGGATTTGAAGAAGATTTTCGAGTCCGTTGGTGCTGAATTCGACGAAGAGAAGATAGATCTGTTCTTTTCTCTGATCAAAGATCACGATGTGACTGAGCTTATCGCTGCTGGGAGGGAGAAGATGGGTGCTCTGTCTTCTGGTGGTGGTTCAGCTGTTGCTACGGTGGTCGGAGCAAGAGGCGATGCTCCTTCCGTGGCTGAGCCAGCGTCTGAAACTAAGAAGAAGGTTGAGGAGGAGAAAGAGGAATCCGACGATGGTGAAGGCATGATGAGTCTATTCGATTGATTCAAATTTTGGTAATATATAGATTAGATCTGCCTATTGTATTAGATTTTGTTATCCTTGTTGCTATCGTTTATGGATTGATTCGATGGTTAGACTTTTAAATCTATCGTGAATAGATCTTTGTGATGTTTCTCAATCATTTAGTAATCGGAAAATAGATAATTAACTCAATGATATGAAATTAGTATTTGCATTGTGATTCTGAATGATTTCTGGTACAAAGTGATGTCAATGGTTAGTTTGTTGAAGATACTTGAGTGTTGACTTGTGAGGAATTTCATGTAGGAGAAGAATAGATTTAACAATTAGAGAAGTTCGTAATTTGAGAAGTGAACAAGCAACGATGATGTGTTTATCTTGTTGTTCAGAAGTAGCTCTTCACTCTATTAACTTTCATGGCAATCACTAACCCATGATGACTAAGAAATTGTGCTGCTGCAAAAAAAATTAGGTGCTCTTGTTAGTGTCATTACGGCTGATTTTAAAAGTCTCCTGACACGAATTTTGCGTAGTTTGGTAACTAAAATGATGTCAAGTCTCAATAGTTTCGAGTTTTTTAGAAGTTGTTGTCATGGTAATTGATGGTCTAATGCTTTTCACCATTTGTGCATTGAACGAATGGTAGCCGCTTATAAATTTGGGTTTAGACTTTGTTATCAATGGGCCTTTCGAAGCCCAACTTCATTACAGTGAGTGAGATGATAAACTGACAGGTTGCATTTGGAATTCTCGTTTTGTTATACATTTATTTTGACAAGTAAAAAAAAAGTTCACGATCAACCTTACGACGACTTTAACGGAAAGAAACACCATAAGAGTTTATGATCCCATGTACCACAATATGGACCATTCTCAAGGCACTTAATCAACTACTCAATCCGAAAGATGTCCCCAAGCAGGGCCGGCCCTGAGATTTTGGGGGCCTAAGGCCAAAAAAAATTATTTGTTGGTTTTTTAGATAAATTTTTTAAAACAAGACAAAATGTTAAGATGTTTAAGTTTTGGGGGCTTATTTTTGCAAAATAACAATAAATCAGGGGCTATTTTGCTATGTTAAAAAAACCAAAAAAAATTGGGGTCATAGGCCCAAGTTTCATTTAGCATGGCCCAGGATCGTCCATGTCCCCAAGATTCAGCTCTTAATACAACCAAGCATTAGTGGAGTAAATGATCAAGTCTCATGGGCTTATATAAAGGATGGTAATTAATTTTTAATTAAAGAAACGTTTTTAAATTTTTTTTTCTTACTATTTTAGTGCCCTGAATTTTTAGATATTTGCCAAAAGGTGCAGTTTCATATTCATAAGTTTTTCTTTATAGTGGATTATCAATAGTGGATATAGGCAATGAGACAACACAACCACCAAAATGAGTAAACCCATAACCAAAAAACAAGTTGGTAATGCACCCAAAACAACATCAGAAGTTATAAAAATGACTAATACTTGATGTAGTTTTGTAGATGATTCATGGAATTCTGAAAAAGTCAAAAAGCTAGCATTGGATAGGTGCTTCTGAACCAGAGTGTGAAAAGGTTTAACACTAATAGATCCAGTTGCAAGCCCGTTGGAGACAGATTCATTTGTACTTATTAGAGAAACAATATTCCAAGACTCCAAGTAAACAGTTAGGTTGCATGAAAACGAAAACGGATCGTGGAAACGAAACGTTTGGAAACGTGGAAACGATTTTTAAAAAAAAATTAGAAAACGGATACGTTTTGGAAACGCGCAC